GCTACCTCACACAAAGAGCACACAATGCTGGGACATGGTGTAAGATCCTTTTCCTTACCAAAAATATGACTTTAGAATTGTTAAACTCTGAATATCTCACATTGTTGTTATATTTTCATCTCTATAGTTTTTCCTTATTTAAAAACAGTATGAAATTTATTATTTTACTGTAATAGCATTTTCTTTCTTTGTGATACCACTTTATATTCTGCATATTTCATACATCTATGTTACATTTTTAAAATTCTCTTTAATATTATTTAAACCTTCTGCCTGAATCAACTTATATATTATTGGTTTTAATTTTCTTTTTTAGATGTTCCTTTTTTTCACATCTCTTTAAAATTTGTTGTAGACTGCTTTACTCTGGCTCCCTCCCTCCTCTCATCTCTTTGCAACTTTAAAGTTTGAATATTGTAGTTTCTTTTATAATATTCTATTATCTCAAATTCTTAGAAATGGAATACTGATAATCTTATTTGTTGTGATCCTTGACTAACCCATAGGATTACCTGTATCTTCATGTGGCTTTTGATTTCTTTATTGGTATAAGAAACTATTTTTATTAGTTTTTTGGCTGCAGATTCACTCACCTCATTGCTAGTATCAGTTTGGACTACACACCTCCTCATGTTATGAGAGATTCGCTCCCATGAATAGTTCTAAATAAAGAACTTTCTTACAGCATCTCTGGGCTCAGATCACAGTTTCCAGGCCTCTTTCATGGGGAAGGACATCCTATGGAAGTGACTTAGTTTATGGGGTTTTTTTGTTTGTTTAATGACCCTTTATAAATTCACTATCCCCTACCTGCTAAACCCTGCATCTGATTTAATTTTGTCCCTGGCTCATCTTTTATTCTATTGGCACACATTCCTCTTGTGTTCAACTACACATTGCATGCTTTTGTCATCCTTATTGAGCATTTCTAGAAATATGAAGAGCAGAATTGTGGTTCTGTCAGTTCTCCATGTTGTTAGCAATTTGAGGCAGTTAGGACATGGAACATCTCCTGAAGGCTCCTGGCACTTCCGCAGTCTGGGCTTTGTTTTAACAGGAGCCAGAGGGACCCTGTCTCTTCCTCTTGCTGGGTTCATTCCTGGGATCTCCAGGTTCATCATTCTATAGCTGTGTGGGTCCCAGGCCTGTCCCATCAATTCTGACTCTAAAATCTTCTCCTCATAGATACCTGTTCATCCATCTTGGATGCTTTCTCTTTATAAACTGTTTTTCTTTATTTTGTGAGCAAACTGAAACCTACTCACTTGCTCAAGTCTGAGATTCCCAAGTCGATCATGTATTCCTCTGCTCTGACAGAAAATCATGCTATTTCTCTTATATATGCTTTCATTTAAAAGGGACACCTGATTCTTTTAACTTTTGGAAGATTCTAAGTCTCTAAAAACCCAAGTTTTCTTCTAATTCAATTTAGTCTCTTTTCCCCCTAAATGGTGTTAACTGCTTCATTCCAGTAAGCTGTCTCAGCTTATGTGGCCTTGACTTGAATTGTTGATCCTGATGTTATTTATCTAAAATTGGAACACAACTAGAATTTCTACAAATTAAAAATTCACTAGTAATTCTCAATAAGAAAAATATTTTCATTCTAGCTCCTCTTAGTTCTAGAAACAACATCCTAAGATCTCGAGACTGAGGTCTGGGCTCTGCACTACACCACATGTCCCCTCCTCCGGAGGTCACTAAATGCATTCTTGGTAGACAAAGATCCTGGTAGATTCTTCCTTGAGAAAACTTCATTTATTCTCAACATATCAGATATATTCACGCACGTAGAATTAAGCTTTTTCAAGACTCCTTTAACCAAAATATGACTGATGGGTAGCCAGGTAAAAAAAATGAATGAGTAGTTTATAGTACATTTCCCACTCACGAATAAAAGTGTAATTAATTTTTTTTAAGTTAGCTGGGCATGGAGGTATACACCTGTAATCTCAGTAACTTGGGAGACTGAGGCAGGAATATTACAAGTTCAAAGCCAACCTGGGCAACTTAGCAAAACCCTGTCTCATTCTTTTACAAAGTTTATTAATAGAAAAGGATATGTGCCCTCATAATGTTGAGAAACATTACATACCCTTTTTTCCTATTTTATACTTGAAATGAAGATTTAAATATTGACTCATTTCTGGTGCTTATATCAAAAGTCATAGAATTATCTCACACAAGGACTAAAAATAGAGTTACAACGTTACATTTAAGATACAGCTTTTAGAATCATTTGTCTCTATATCATCTCTCACTTTGTATATTCATAAAACAGATCTTATGTAATTTTTCATAAACTCTACCATGCCAATAACTTTTGAGGACATTCAACTAAATGTGGCTTTTAATATTGCATATTTCTCTGAACATGGTAGAAAGGATTTCTATATGAGCTGTCCTTGAACTTGATTTGACCTACTAATGAACTATATTTTATTTGAAACAGAAGCTTAGAATGTATACACATGGCATTGGTCCTGGGATAGTTGTAGTAAGTACAGTTCAGTGAGTAGACATTAACTTTTAAAAATGGTTTAAAAGTCTTTACCAGAAAATCCATTTTCCCTACCTTTGCCCTCACCCATAAATGCAGTTCTAGAAAACAAATAAATCAATAGAAACACTCATTTTTCTTGTATACTGTTATTTGTCCTGAGTGTTAAAGATTATTTGTGAGATAAGTGCTCTATTTTCAACTGCCAATCCCAAATAAAAGTAGTGTGTACCCCTTCAACTTCATGTCCTGCTGTTCTATGTGCAGTATGGTCATTTATGTGCAGGGGTGCCGCAGTCTGGCTGGGCACAAATCACGAGCCACTGAAGCAGGAACAAACTTTATTTTTAAACTGCAGGAAAACACTTCACACAGCTCCCGGGGAATCCTCCCGAATGCGCCACGAGGCTTGTCCAGGAACCCCCAGCCGGAACTATCTCTCCCGGAAATCCCTCCTCCTGCACTTCCCCAACCAATGGGAACTCTCGGGGAATCCCCGGAAATCCCCACGAGAACTCCAAAATAGTGCGAGAACTCAAAAGTTGCGGCAGAGGCGGACAGGCAGAGGCGCCTGTCAATCAATACTGTTGGCAAAATGCCAGGGGCCATACAGACTCAGCCGTGGCTCTCAGCACAGGGGGCCTAGGAAAGTAATTAAAGTCCTCCTGAAGAGGAGACAGTTTTGAACCCTCTCATGCAATCACACAGCCTGGCTAAAAACTTTTGTTTTTCTAAATTAGAAGAAATCTGAAAAAGAGTGAACCCAGGAATGTTTTTCATTCTTTATATATACCTTCCTGTGAAAGTAGAGGATGTCAAATCTACTAAATTCTTTTGTCCCAGATCAGAAGAGTATCATCACACATAAGAAACAATAAATGTTATCTCAAGTAGATGTTGTAGCATAATGTCATATATTAAAATGTTAACAAATTCACTTGGGTTTCCAATGTTTTAAATTTACTTATAACAAACGAAATTACTAAGGAAGAAACACTGTCAATGCTTGTATTTCATAGAATATATACATGGAAACATGCACATGCACAACACAGACAGATACACATACCCTGAAACTGAAAAGAGTAATCATATTTGAACTGTAGAAATGGAGGGCAGAGATAGATATAAACTTGGGAAACATTTGAAAATTTTATCATGTGCAATATGACTTTTAAAAATGATACATTAAATATAAAGCTGTGGGTGTAGTTCAGTGGTAGAACATGTGCTTAGCATGTGTGAAGCCCTGGATTTAATCCCAAGCACCAATACATATACATACAAATATATATGTGAAAGCAAAAGATAGTACATGTGTTTAAGTTATAATACTCATTTTATCAAACTCCAAAACATCTTCCTACACTCATGATACTAAAACCACAAGAAGAAGGTTGCATAATAACTCTAAATTTGGGGAAATTATGTCTGTTTTAAAAAGTTTCTTTTGTGATTGGAAATCAGTAAAGCTAATCTCCCTGAGATCCTGTCTTGGCAGGACACCATGTGAAGTTTTGGCACAAAGTTTCATTTAAAGCTATCTACCCACAACTGCATCCAACCCCCACATATGGGTGCACATCACATTTTATGTCATATTTTCAATTCTAATAGTAAATGAAAATCACATAATTTACTGAATATTATGGGGTTTTGTATGAAATGCTGTAATAGCACCAAAATCAGGAGAATTCCATAGGAACACCTTTTGTAAAAGTCAAGAACACTTTTCAATTTTTCTGATAGTAAATTCATATTGCGCCTGAATTTCAATCTTGGCTATATTTCAATGTTGACACCTCATGACTTGTAATAATGACAAGTAAGAGAAAGGCAGATACTGAGAAATTTTGCTTTGAAGTCACTCTCGCATAGAGTTTGCATTTTCCAGCCACATGCAAAACTGAAAAGCTCCCTAAAATAATGATATTCTTTCACTGACTTTTCCCTAATGTCTCAGAAGTTAGAAACTAATGAAAGTTAAGACAAGCACCTCCCCAGCAAAATCTGCCAACTGCCAAGGATGTAGATCTAAGAAAAGAGTTGGGTGGGGAGAAGAGCATCACAACATTGTCACAGATTTTTCATAGTTCTTTTCTCCACATGCAAAACTCATTCTCCCAAAATTCCTTCAGATGATGAAATCTCTGAATTTTGATGGGTACTTTCCAGAGTACTCATATTTTTTAAAAAATTATTACAGGATATTCTTTTATTTTCTACCTTATATTTAAAAACCTATGGCTTACAATCAGAAAATTTCCTTAAGATGAAATCATTCCTATGCCCTTTATACCCTTTTTAGGTTTGCATTGTTCCAAAGCTCATTAGAAAATGAAAAGATAAAAGACATTCAATTTGTTTAAGGTTTAAATGAACTAGCTTGTTCTTAAATCAGTGGTTTCCGTATCAAGGATGTGACTACAGGTTAAAAGTTGAACTCCTAAGTGTCTCTCCCTGAGAAATTCTCTGTTCAGGGTTCAAGAGAAGATATTGGCTAGTGTTTCTTGGAGGCATCAGGTGGCATTCTTTGGTCTCTGCACACTGGACAACAGCTTCCTTTCATCAATTCAGGACTGAGACATGGAGCCAAGGGACAATTCTTCACCATGCACGTGACTTGGCCACTCTGAAAAGTTAAAAAAAAAAGTATGAAATGAAATACTGAATATCTAAATATGGTAAAAAGTGCCCAGGGTGTGAGCTAATATTCATTCTTTCTTTCTGCACATTTGCAGCATGAAAAGCAAGGCCTGAAATACAACCCTATAATGCATGACTTCTGGTATTATACAGCATGATATGCATAAGGAAGTTCATGCATTTCCAGAGGGCTGGTGGGAATTAGCTCTATTCAGAAAGCAAACTAAACAACAAATTTAGGGCATGAAAAAAATGGTGGATACTATGACAAATCATTTTTATATTGTTATAGGAACTCATTATCTAACCAGCTCTTTCGGGCAGTGTTTTTGGTGATCTGAGTCGAGAATAACGAGATGACTCGAAATCCCCTTCTGCTTCAGTTGACTTGCATGACCTTGGATGAGTGACTTACACTTGCCTAGATCCTGCTCCCTCATCTGTCAGTGAAGATGTGAAAGGTCTACATGCTGTCTGGCAATCACTTCATTAGATCATAGCCACATTTATATAAATAACCATAAATCTCAAAAATCCTACACCAGTCTCTTGATCCTAAAAATATGCCTTAAACAGTCTGAGAACATAACTCAGTGGTAGAGTGCTTATGTAGCATTTTCACGGCCCTGGCCTCAATCCCCTGTACTGTACAATTTTTTTTTCTTTTAAATTCCTGAATTACAAAAAAAGAATTTTTTCCCCGTTTTTGAATTTTTCAGGTGCATTTCAATTGGCTGGCAAGAAGAAGTAAAGCAGGAAAATGATAGAAAGACCTCTGGCAGCACATACCTCACAGGTACAGTTAATGCAGTCTTCTTTCATCCAGTGCTCCCGGTCTCTCCTGTGCGTCCCTTTATCATCCCTGCATCCCCCCTGCTTTAGGCGTGCCTCCAGCTTGTTTATCTGAAAAGAAGAGGAGAGGAAAGTGGGAATTCAAGTAGGAGCAACAAAGCTGATAAATAACATGGCTGGATGAAATGCTCCACTCTGTAAAGCACACTCCTAGAAGGCAGAGGAAACTTCAAAGCCCACATTATTTCTCTTTCACATTTTCCCCCAGAACTTAATACATTTGAATCATCCAGCAGCTAAACTGATAAACAGTTTCCTGTGCATGGAAGAATGTTGAACACGGATCTAGGATTTGAAGAAGTACATTTTTTTAAAAGAAAGGGATTTTCACATCAAATAAGTGAAGTTACATATTTAGAAAAATCTCAGTAGAAACAACAATTCAACAAATCAATATTTTATTTCTTCCTTGTTACTAAGCTGTTCTGTATTACATTCATTTAACAAACGTGCACTAAGTTTTAAGGATGAAAGCAAGAAACTCAGGCTCTTAAGGTGCTTATGATTTGGTAGAAATAGCAACACAATAGCTAAAAGCCAGTTAGATAATGAGGGTTTATATGGATTTGGGGAAACCCACCCCAGGAAGGTAGAGGAGACCCTATATATGAACTGAAGAGTTCCCTCCAAATTCATGGGTGAAGTCCTAATCCTGCAATGAATATTCTGAGATGGGGCCTATCATGATATAATTAAGGTTAAATTAGTTGTAAGGGTGGGGCTTTAATTCAGTTTTACCAGAGTTCTTATAAAACAAGAAAAAGACACTAGGAGTCTGCATAGAAGAAAGACCATGTGGAGATGCAGTAAGAAGGTGAATATCAGTGAGCTGGAAAACGAGGCCTCAGAGGATAGAGCCACAGTCAGCACCATGACCTTGAATTTCTAGACTCCAGAAATACAAGGAAATCAATTTCTGTTTTTTACACCACTTAGCCCATGGTATTTTGTTACAGTGCCTGAGCAGACATTATAATATGCCTTCCATGAGAAAAACTATGTCAGCTGCAAAAAACTGACAAATATTACAGAACAAATATTTCAGAGAAAAGCCACTTCAGACAAATGGAAAAATTATGTGTCCAACCACCAAGACCACAAGCAGGTCAGTATTTTCAGGAATGAAAACTGATGGAGGCCGGGGGGGTAATACAAGCAAATTTTGGTGAGAACTGAGACTTGAGGAGTACGCAGATCCTAAAACTGACGTAAGTTAACTGACTACCAACTGAGAAGGAAATAACACCACCATATTCACTACTATGGCTATACAGAGGATCAACTGGTGGGATTTGTGACTGAAAACAGAGGAAAGGGCAAGGAGACCAATATGCTCCAGAGAAGAAGGAGAAGGCAAAAGTCACAAGAGACATTCAGCAGGTAGAGGTGCTTGGCTGGATCAGGGGTAGAGGAAAAACGAAGAATCCACAGTAGCTCCAAAGATCCAGTTTTCATCAGGTGCATAAATGGTGACATTCAACAGGATATTATTCTAGAGAATAAATTGCAAAAGAGTAATAACGAATGAAAAAATTAAAGATGTTTAATTAAACAAGGTTTTTAGGAACAATGGAATGATATGATTTTCAAAACTAAAAGAGACCCAGTCTAAGAATATTGAGTGACTTGTCAAAGCACTGTGGCTGCATTGCCATGGGTTGAATTGAGTTCCCCACAAAATGTATGTAATGGAGTCATAACCCTCAGTATATCAGGGCATGACTATATTTGGAGGAAAAACATACGACTTTTGAGTTTCTGGGTCTGGTTTATTTTACTTAACGTAATGTTCTCCAGTTCCATCCATTTTTTTCCACAAATAACATAATTTCATTTTTCTTTATGGCTGAATAAAACTCCATTGTGTATAAAAGAACATTTTCTATATCTATTTGTCCATTGATGGACATCTAAAACTCCCAAATTACACTGCAAATTGGTGCAGCCAATATGGAAAGCAGTATGGAGATTCCTTGGAAAATTAGAAATGGAACCACCCTTTGACCCAGCTATCCCACTCCTCAGTCTATAGCCAAAGGACTTAAAATCAGCATAGTACACGGACACAGCCACATCAATGTTTACAGCAGCACAATCCACAATAGCTAACTGTGGGAGCCAACATAGGTGCCCTTCAATAGATGAATGGATTAAAAAAAAGTGGCCTATATACCCAATGGAATATTACTCAGCAATAAGAGAGAATAAAACCATGGCATTTGCAGGTAAATGGATGGAGCTGGAGGAGATAATGCTAAGTGAAGTTAGCCAATCCCTAAAAACCAAATGCCGAATGTTTTCTCTGACAATAAGGAGCCTGATTCATAGTGGTGTAGGGAGGGGGAGCATGGGAGGAATAGATGAACTCTAGATAGGGCAGAGGGGTGGGAAGGTAAGGGAGGGCGCATGGGGTTAGAAATGATGGTGGAATGTGATGGACATCATTATCCAAAGTACAGGTATGAAGACACGAATTGGCGTCAACATGTATGAAGATATGAAAAAAAAATCCTGAATTACAGTTTGTTCAAATCACATGTACAGAAATACTAATGTATTTGACAGAATTTTGGTCAGTTCTATTAAATGGTCATTTGTTCCTGAGGTCCACTTAAGTTTCCCACCCTGGAAGTAAATTGCGCTAGACTGCAGTGTTTTTCCCATAACATTCAGTGGCCTTCTCTAGTGGGCCCATCCCTGTGGGCCCCTCCTGGTCACCCTCCCTGGAAAAGTGTACTTCTCTCTTGATGTCATCAGACTTGGCTTTTTTTTTAACTCCCCTGGCCACTAGCACATGATCAGAACTAGCGTAAGTCGTAACTGGAGAGGTTCTGACCACCTGGCCCAGCATTGCTGATTTCCTTCTGCTGCAAGCAAAACATACAACAGATGAGGATTTTTTTATTATTATTATTTTTACACTGAAAAATCTGTGGGGGACAGACACAAACTCCCAAAAGCATAAAACTTGATTGAGAAATAAATCCTTCTTGATATGAATCACTAAGATTCAGAATTATTACTCCAGCATAGCTTCCCAGGCCTATCTAATTCATGGTTTAATCTAGGCCATGCTGCCAGATGAAACAATAATAAAAGCAGAAATCGAATCAAAACAACAAGAATTACTAGGCTATTTTCTTCATTGATATTCTAGATGAAATCATTTAAGCATCTGTCTATAGCTGCATGAACGTGGATATGAAAAAGTTGTGATTTTCTCATTGATCCACTCATGTTGCTGAAAACCTTTTGTACAGAAAATTCAAAAGGGATAGATGGAAAGGACAGAAGCATCCTTAGTGTATAAACTTGAATTGTAAAGTCAAAAGCACTCTCTCTAAGGCTCAAGATTTGAAAGCCCAATATGCTTATTCAGAGCACAAAAGATCTGTCTCCAGATGTTTCACAAGAGAACACAGCCTGTAAATTTGCAGGCCCACACCCACAAGATGCAAGGCCGTGGTTGGACATTGTTCCTCATCTCTTTGTTATAAAACAGTGAAGAAATCTGTCTGTTTTCAGAAATATCATGAGTGTTTTATTCGGCTTTTTCACTGCTATAACCAAGAGACTGACAAGAACAATTAGTGGACGAAAAGTTTATTTGGGTCTCACAGTTTCAGAGGTCTCAGTCCATCGATAGCTCTGTGCCTGAGGTAAGGCAGAATATCAGGGAGGAAGAGTGTGGGAGGAGGACAGTGGCCCAGGACATGGCCACCAAGAAGCAGAGAGAGAGTTCTACTCAATAAAGACAAAATATATACCCCAAAGGCACACCCCCAATGACCCATCGCCTCCTGCCATACTCTACCTGCTTACAGTTACTACCCGGTTAATCCCAGTCAGTGGATTAATGCACTGATTAGCTTAAGGCTCTCATAACCATTATTTCACCTTTAATCTTTTTTACATTGTCTCACACATGAGCTTTTGGGGAAATCCTAATATCTAAACTGTAACAATGAGTTAAGAATAAACCAAGGAGATTGAGGCATTATTCTCATCCTTACAAGAAAAATTGCACAAACTGAAAATCAGTGACTTTTCTTGGAGAACTAGGATCAGAGGGTAAACGACCGTCTGAAATTTAGAAGACAAGTAAATTAAAAGAGATATGGCAGGGCTGGGATTGTGGCTCAATGGTAGAGTGATCGCCTAGCATGCCCGAGGCACTGGGTTCAATCCTCAGCATCACATAAAGATATGTGTCCACCTAAAACTAAAAAATAAATATTAAAAAAAAAATGTTTAAAAAAAGAGAGACATGGCAACCACATTCTGCTTACTGAGCAGACTGATGAGTATTGAAGCCACAATCTGATAGGAACACTGACAGCTTTATGTATGTGTCAACGTGGAGAGAATGTTTGTGGATGAGATTAGCATTTAAATTGGTGAACTTTGGGTAAAGCAGACTGCCCTTTGCAATGTCAGTGGGCCTTACCCAATGAGTTGGAGGCCTGAGTGGAGCCAATGTTTGGCCTTCCTAAGCAGGAGGGAATTCTCCAGAAGACAACCTTCCAATCTGCAGCACTGATTCTTCTGGGATTTGAGCCTGTGGGACCACACTGCAGAATGGACTTGACAGTCTCTGTAGTTGCTAGTCTCTATATTCACCCTAGTGAGCTGGTGTTATATATATAACAAGCAAGTAAACAATAAATTAATCTATTTGTTCTCTATCTGTGGAGAATGTAAAACCAACTTAATGGTAATTTTGCCAAATGGCTCAAGACTGAGTGAGAACCCATGTGAACCAGACAAAATGCTGGAAGTTACTGTCTTATGGGGCCCCACACATTCACAGGCTTTATTAAAAGGAACTTCATGAGGTTGTATTGAAAGGATCTAACAAACGTTCTTCCATTGCCCTGGCTTGGGGAGGGTAAGGAACATCCTTTGTGAAACACACACAGAGCCTTTTCTGTAAGAAACTCATTGTTATACAAAATTACATATAAGAGGATGTGAGGGGAAAGGGGGAAAAAAGAGAGAAAAATGAGTTACAGTAGATGGGGTAGAGAGAGATGATGGGAGGGGAGGGGAGG